CTGTTGAATTGGAGGATAATCCTGACAATGTTTGCATAAAAAATTCAGAATCTTGGCTAGTCCAGGTGACAAGTGATCTCCACACACCTCTACGTAGATTAGAAGAAAAAATTTCTTAACATCAAGGTTAATAATACATGCAAGTAATAAATGAAAAGGTTTATCGCAAGCCATCTTTTCTTTAAAACTCCAGACTCAGCTTGTGATGTTTTGGCTCTGAGTTTTGCAGGCTATCTGTGGCCCTATGTTTTAAAAAATTGTTTTAAGAAACTGTTTGTAATATAAGGCTGTAGGAAAACATATCTGTATCATCCACCAGTTTTATTTTAAATTCATGGAAGATGATGCTGCGTTATTTAAATTGCTGCTGAAATTTATGAATTCTTTTTGTTGTAGTTTWAAAAACCCATTAAATCAACTTAAAACTCCAGTTAGAAGACTACAAGACTCTTCATGATGATGAATAATAATGACAAAATCAGAATTACTGAAGGACATCTCAATAAATATGCTAGTCATGCAGAAACACAGAGAGTAGTCCTAGATTATGCTGTGTATTTCTTTATGTTCATTTGATGCAAATTTAATTCTCTGGATAAATTTAATCCTCTCCAAATGTGTCAATCTAAATCTGTGGAGGAATCTTTTGCTCACTAACTGTTATGAAAATTTCTTACCCTATTTTAAAATTCTTCAACAGTCTGCAYATCATATATAATGTTCTGGAAAAAATATTATACTGCTTGGGGAATATTATTAGTATGAGGTGCCAAAGGAAGAAAATGCTCAAAGCAGCAGCCAACAATGCTTATGTTAAAATAATTTCATACAATTTTGTACCTTGAAACTTCTCTAAAGAGGCCATTCAAAGGACAAGGAGAGACGCGTTTGATGTTTTTGAAAAATGAGCTAACAGCAGGAAAGAAATACTGGATATATGAACCAACATTATTTCCAAGAAATAACTTGAGCCTGTTTTAACTTTGAAGTGACTCCCCAGTCGGAGAATRAGGGTTTGGGGCAGGTTTGGCTGTGCCTGCCCGTGGGTGTTGTGTGAGCAGTGCTGCTCCACCTGCTCTGTGGGCTGATCCTCACTTGGTGCAGTTTGCCAGCTGGTAAATCCTGTCCTGCTCATTGGCAGCTTTGAGGGGCTTCTAGGAGGGAGAGGGAAAATGGATGTGGTGGAGTGTGAGCCCTGCTTTGGAGYGCTGTTGGTGGCCTGGGCAGCTCTGGTGGCTGTGGGAAGGGGCCAGCTGTAATTATGGATTGTGACAGAGGGGAGGGGTGAATGGGGGTAAGGAAGGTGCTGAGCCCAATCAATCACTGATCAATCACTGATGGACTGATCAATCACCCTGGCTGTTAAACACATCTTCCCTGCAGTGGCACTGAGCACTCCAGCTCCATTGGCTCGGACATTGGGGAGCTCTTCCCTACCCCCTGGTTTATTTGAGCAGCTCTCTGGTGTTGTCTCAGTGTTCTCTCCAAGTTGCACGTTTTACCCCATCTCTCAGGCAATTTCTTCCCTCCTGTTCCATTCTCCTTGAGCTGTTTTGCTCAATTTCAAAACTGTCAAAGTTACTCATCTGAGATCTAACATTTGCTGCTCTGAGTATCCAGACAGGCACATGCTTTTCCTTTCTATTACCGTGTAGCAGTGAGTAAGACAGAATGATTTCATTAAAGTCTTATTAAATATCCTCAATCCTATATAGAAAAATTAAGTCTTGAATCTAATGAAATTATTTAGTCATATGAACAAATGACAATGCAGCAGCCTGTTAATCCTCATAATATAACTAATGTACATACAYATTGCAAGTAGCTACTTTATTATTTATGTAGAAAGAGTAATTGTGAAGATTTTTTTACCTGATATTTTCTGAAAAATTCAAGATTTGTATTTAAACCAAATTTTTCTTTGGTTTTTAATATGYTTTTACTCAAATACAATTTTTCCTTGGTTTCAGATTTGATATACTTCGCTCGAACCTTGAGGTTATAGAAAAGCCCTTCAACCATAGTTGGAGAGCATATTGGAAAATAAGTTATTTTTCCTTTGCGAGTGACTCAGTATTGAACTTTGAGGTGGTAACTTCACATGTAAATGGGGTTGAGTGAGGGATTTGTCCCATATCAGATGCTGAAAAAAGCTGTTTGGATGATAATAGTTTGAAGACTGAAAATCACTTTTTGGGCATGTTTCACAGGCATCCAGCAAGATATTTTGACACATCCTGAAGCAGCTACTCAAACTTCTGACACCAACTTTCATATTCTCACTGCTGATCTTGACAGGCAAAGGGGATGCTGTTCTCAGGCTTTTAAAGGGATTTTTWAAAAGACAAGCTTAATGTGCTTGTTAAAGTGAAACTGGGTACATTTACCAGAGTTAGCAGTGTTGCCCAAATATCACCAGAGTGCTGCAGGATCACTGTGTTAGTGCTGAACAACCCTCAGAGCTCCAGCAGCCSCAGCTCATGGTACCTCACAGAGGTGGCACTGGGTGTCTCACCTGGCCCATTAACCTCCCTGAGCTGCCAACTTCATAGGCTGCTAGTTTGGCTTTTTTTTTTCTTTTTTATAAATGTGGAAATAAAATCAATCCAACCAATATTAAAATCATATACTAAAATATGATTGGCAGTGGCAAAAATAGGCAGTTTAATTAGCAGTGCATATCACGTATTTTAAATAAGGTGAGGAGGACTGTATTTAAAGATGACTTTCAGGGTAAAAATCATTTTTACTGGTGCTTCCAGGTAGATACAGATAAAATTACCACGGTGGTCTGTATTCTGGGTCAATTTGTGTACTGAATGGCACAATTGCTAATTAAACACCACTGCAAAATCCTTACCCACATCCAGGTTAATTCTAAACAGAGCCTGTCATCTTTAACTTTCTGCTAATGCAGGATTTAATGCAAAACTTGATTTTGCTCTGATTAAGGAGCATATGCCAGATTTACAAGCTCTGTGTGGGGTTGTACACATTTGTATCTAAGTAGGAAGGAGTGGGCAGAGGGTGCGTGATTCCTGCCTGGAATAAATGAACCAAGGTCTTCACGGAGAGCTCCATCTGGCTACCAACATCCTCCGTCACGTAGCCCAGGAAAGGCAGCTCCTGGGGCTGACTGTGGGGCAGGAGCTGACAAACCAAGCTGGGCAGATTTCTGACAGAGCTTTTTGTCAGAGCACTGTGGGGATAAAAATATCGCTGAGGTGCTGCAGGGTAATTTCTTGTGAAATCTGGATGGATTTGAGCAGGGGTCGTGACAGCTGAGGGATCCTCAAGTCTCATGATAGACATTCCCTGACGCTCGTGAGGAAATGCAGCTATTTTCACGGGAACAGATGAAATTGCCTGAGCTAATCATCTCTTTGCTGGGGTATCTTTTGTCAGTAGCTCTGGGTTGTAACGTGATACATTCTCTTTGCCCATGGCAGAAGCAGCAACATGCTCTTTAACATCTGCTGGGTTGTCATTCCCTGTGTCCCATCCTTGTTTTGTGTATTTAGTTGTCCTGTAAATATGCCTATCCTGACACTTACTGTCGGCTGAAAATTGCACATTGTTTCTGTATCAGTGAGCTTTTGCTTTGCCTAAAGGCCTTTCCTTTGACCTTTACTGCACTGAATTGTTTGAATTGCCCCAATTATTATGCAGCATTTCTTCAATCATGTATTCCCAAGGAGGGTGGGTCGCCCCTCTGTGCTGCTGTGAAGGAATCCSAGCTCCCATGGAARGCAGAGCTGGTTCTTTCCACCTGTRTATTAGAGAACAGSAAGGCTTTCAGGGCAGCTCTYCCTCTCTGGAGGTAAAGCTGTGTCTATCTGGGCATCTCTGGAGAGCTGGAAGGTCTTCACTGAGTGCAGAGGTGACAAAAAGTCTTCCCCCACTGGGAGGTGGAGGAAGGAGCTGTCGATTTGTCTAACTCTTCTTTTCTAATGACATAATCAAGCCATAAAATGGCTTCTCTGGCACGAGTCTGAACTCTGGCGCTGCACAGAGTTATCTGGGACATTCCCCAGAACCAAAGCTATACCAACCACCGAGGCTTTGCTGAGTGCTAATTAATAATTCCGTATTGAAAAACGAGGCTGCAGGAGGTGGCAGCTTTTCTCTGTCCTCCTGTTTGTTTATAATCTCTCTGGGTCCTGTGTTTTCCTCGGAGCCCTGCTGGTTGCAGGACTGGTGCCTTCCTGGCAGCGTCAGCAGCAGCCATGGGGGAAGAGCAGCRCATTTGCATTCCCCAGATGAGATTTTGCAGCAAATTTTGAAAACTTCAAAGTCTTTAAATGGATGTCTTCAAACCATGCAGGACTGTGAAGCACTTCTTATTAATAAGACATGAAACTACTTGCCTCGTATTTTGTCATTTTAATTTAGAGTGCCATTGTGAAATGCAGACCCTCAGAAACATGAAGTGGCACAAAGGTTTGCAGCAGAAGGTGCACAGCAGATGCTGTGTCTGGAGGAAGGATTTTGCTCTCGTGCTTTGTGCTGCAGCTGTTATTGCTAACCTGACAAACTCTGTTTTAGCTTTTTAGTTATCGACTTAAAGCTTGCCAGAGTAGCTCTTCCTTCTAAGTGGAAAAGTGTAATGAAAAAAATAGTAGTAAATAGTTTTTCAATAAAGCAAGATGGGTTAGATTTTGCATTTGCTCAGCACTATTTTCCTAACTGGGACAGCTCAAAAAGTATGTTTTGTAATAGATGTGTGTTTAATGTAAAAGGACCATCCCTGAAAATCTTTCTCCTTTTAAAGCCTTGGCTGGGTAGTCCTGGGAATGCATTTAGTCTCCATGTTGTCATGTAACATTTTTTCTTACAAAGGGATGATGAGTGTGCACTGTGTGCAGTTCCCATCTGCTGGGAGGAGGGTGACAGCACYGAGGTATTTGTTTGTTTTTGGTGAGCTGTGCCGGTGTGACAGACTCTCCCTTCGTGCCAGYGCTGGCACACGAGGAAGCTCTGCTCAGGATCTGGCCTTGCTCTTTTYCTCTGGTTCCATGGCCTCTGTGAGGGTGTGTGAGCAGGATGATGCCAATCATCCTCACATTGTTTAGAGACTCTTTTAGGATGTGGCAGGAAGGGARCTCTGAGGTGCAGCAATGTGTAATTCTGCAGGTGTCTGTCTGCCTTTGGCTGCTGCTCAGAAACACACCCAGTTCTTCATTATCCCTGTCCTTGGCTGCATCCTTCCCAAGATAACGAGGGTGGAGTGGCCAAAGCACGCGTGCCAGAGTCAATGTGAGGTCCTTTAGGCAGCTGTGGGTGAGATGAGATCAGATGAGATGAGATGAGTGCCCTGTGCTTAAGTCAGCCTGACTTCAAACAAGCTCTCCCATGCTCTCAGCTATTTCCCCCTTTCCTTCCTGCAGCCTGTAGAGGCGAAACCAAAGGGAATATTCCAGACTGCATATGAAGTGGGAGAAAATAGGAAAGAACGTGCAAGTTCAAAAGAATTGCAGTGGTTMTATGTACCATTGCATGTGTGGACTTGAAGATGAGTTCTGCACCTGCAATAGTGAATTAAGGATTTGATTCACTATTGAAACTGTATTTTTAATCTAATTTCCATTCATTTGGCCATAAAAAAGGATTTGTATGGTTTGGGCCACGGTCTGTCCCAAAAATGTTTCTACAACCCTTTTTTCAAGTGAGGGCCACCTTCTGTATTTATCTGGGATCAAGGCCATGTTATTATCAGTATAACTGGGAATAAGACATTTTTCATAAATCTCTGGCTATTTTGTGGCAATTCTATATAGCACAGAAAATGTATATGCATGCACTTTTGRACAGTTCCATAATGGAGCATATCTGCATTTTTAGCGTGTTACCCTCAGCCTGAACTTTCTTTTTAAAACGTATTTGGTTTACAAATACATACTACTGTGTTTATTACTTCAACACAGCACTTTTACAGATGYAACTCTGAAAAGAAATGAGCATTTCCCCAGATCCAGGTGTTTAAAGATGTGTCATATCCTCCTCAGAACAGTAAAATGGAGCTGTTCCCGTTGAAGTGGGAGGGTTATCAGGGTTCTGTTGACAGCACCAAAGCAGTGGCTGTGTTTTTGGTAGGACCAGGTGAATTGGGGTGATTGCTGTTCCCTGTGACRGGGATGCAGATGCTGAGGGTGGCTGGCACAGGGATGTCCTCAGGATCAGGATCTGCCTCCTCCAGCATCCCWCACCAAGGGTTTGGGAAGGCAGAGCTGCCACCACTGCACTCCTGACCCCCAGATCCCATCCCATTTCCTTCCTGGTGCTTGGAACAGCAGGCTGTCGGGCACATTTTCCACTGCTGAAATCCATCGTGTTYCTTGGCACATTTGCTGTTTGTCTGAGGCCCTGGGCTGGCTGGAATTGTCCSCATTCCAGATGGACAGTTCTGTGTTTGACTCAGGGCTCTGACGACGCCGTGTGAGCTCACGTAAAGCAGCACACTGCTGTCACTCCCACTGCACACCATAACCTGACAATTAAACTGCTTGATTTAGAGAAAAAATTGATTGTTTTCCTGTGTCTGAAGTAGKTTTTCTCCTAAAGGCTTCATCCATTGTGTTTTGGTTAAATTTCCTACTAGAACTGTGCATACACAGTAATAGATACAATTCCATTGATTTAAGTGAGAACTCTTCCTTCCCTTGAGGTATTTTGAATTTCCTAATTTATATGTATAGAGATTTGGCATTTCTGCCTCCTACATTAAAGTTCAGTCATACATCTTGACTTATAAACAGGAGGGAAAGGAAACTGCAAAGGTCATGTGCTTACAWGCGTCTCTAAATAGAAATGGATATAAATCATGTTCTTTGGGAATTTTGTGATTAACTTTCAAGTTATTAGAAGACAGAACAATTTTTGAATATTTTTGAATCTTTTTAAAGGCCTGAGTCTCTTATTGTACAGTCAATTCCCTCCATTTTCCTTGCAAAAGAAATATTTTACCAGTCTTATGATTAGGTTGTCATTTGTTTAGCTTAAGCAACTCAAGAATTATTAAAATGCATTAGATTATAAATTATGTGGATTGCTAGCTCATTTATATTATCTGTCATCAGATAAAACATGTCATTAGATTTGTGGATAGAAAGTAGCTAAACAATCTGAGGAAGAAAACATWAGACTCAAAAATATTAAATCATAACCCTCCTTCTGGTGATCTGGAAATGGAAAGAAATGTGGGTTAATTTAGAAAGGATAGTTTATAATAGTAAATAAGATGGCAATTTTCATGTGCAATGGGATTTGCTTTCTTAAACACACCCAACAGTTGGCATTATTAGAGCAGAATAAAGCAGTTATTTCTAATAACTGTTTTTAATAGAAATTACTAAAAATGTGGTTTGGCCTGGCTCTGATGGACCCCTGGATAAAGGCGCTTTCACAGTRGCTTTCCAATGTGTAAAATCAGAAGAGTCTTCTCTTTTGGGAAGATCCAGAAATAACATTATGATATTTTGGTTATAAGTCAGATGTGTGGGTGTGAGTCTGGATTGGGGTTTTTGTTTGGGGTTGGTGGTGTTTGTTTGTTTGGGTTTTTTTTGGGGAGGGGGTGGTTTGGATTTTTTGATAATTTTTAATTGCTTCAAATGGGTCCTGATTACACATAGAGTATCTGGTTTCTCTTCTGACTCAAATGGAAATGATGAATGTTAAATTTCTGTGCACCTATGGCCAGATCGTGTTAACGGATGACATGCAGTCTGTTTAAAACAGTTACCTGTTGAAATAATATTACCTTACTTATCTGTRGCACTGTGCATTCTCTCATTTCATGCAATTTTCAATGAATTTTAAAGTAATATAAACAACAAAACCCCCAAACAACTGTCCTGGCCGTGTAATTCCCTGCCCCTGTATCCCAGCCTGTCCAGTGGGGTGTTTGTCCAGCCCTGCAGCTCTCAGCAGCCCGTGGCTCTTGCCTTTCAGGTGGGCAAGTGGGAGAACAACTCRCTGAGCCTCAAGTACTCGGTGTGGCCCCGGTACAGCTCCTTCGCAGACAGCGACCCCGATGACAACCACCTGAGCATYGTCACCCTGGAGGAGGCTCCCTTCGTCATTGTCGAGGATGTGGATCCTCTGATGGAAAGCTGCCAAAAAAACACTGTGCCGTGCCGGAAATTTGTCAAACTTAAGTGAGTAAATACACAGCATTCCCTTTTTCTTCCTCCTCTCAAAATGTATTCCTCTATTTTCTCATATTTTCTTTCCTTTCGCAGTATAATTTGTTCTTTTCCTCTTGCTATTCCTTCAATATTTCATGTCCTATTTCATGTCCTCTTTCCCTTTCCTACATTGTGTGCTCTTGTTTGCACATCCTCCTTTTAAAAAAGTTGAAAGGTTCTGGTTATACACATGTAAGTCACATTGAATTAATAACAAGATAGTAAGTTTATAGTAAATTCAAAGTCAACGAGAATTAGCTCTTTTCAGTYGCATAAAAGAAGATTGTGTTCCAAAATAGACTGTTTTAATGAGTCCTCTTTGAATTGTTTCCAGTTATGTTGAGATAYGCCTGTTTTCATTAGTCTGTAACAATTTGAAAACGTCTCCTAATGAAAATGTRAGTTTATGCTGAAATTTGGCTTAGAATAAACTACTCCAGAATAAAATACCACTGTGACTTACCATCAAGAGAAAAATCCCCTTCTTTTATTACTCCATAGCTTTGAAGCAGTTGTTAAAAATCAGTGGCAAAGTTTTCACTGCACATTGGTCTGTGGGGTTTGACCTGCTCTGTGCTTTGATCTGTTTATTTATCAAATTAATATAATAACAACAGGTTTTTACTGAGCAGGTGTGAGGGAATATGATGCATGTTTGTGAAGATTTCCAGAGACTGCTAAATGGTTGTGTACATCCTTGTAAAGTCCAGAATTTATTTTTTTTTTACATAACTGTACTTAATTCTAAACTAGTTTTATTTTAATTTTGAATTCTTCCAAAGGCTGTAAGACATTGCCTTACCTTCTGAAGATGCTTACACTAAAAGGTTCTAGAGGTCACAAAATGAACATTTCAGAACAAAATATGAAAACTTGCATCCTTGCACTTAAATGTGGCCTGAAATTCACCTTCTCCAAGCACAGGGARAGATGCACTTTGAGAGTATGCATCCATTTCCAGCACGGTGGACTGCTGGGCCTTTTTATAGCTTACATGTTCTTTAATTACTAAATGACATGTAGTCTGATGTCTTGAGAGTAAAAGTAATAAAAGTTTAATCTAATCCTAAGGGGGAGATTAGTAAGAGCAGGCTTTATGTCTTGATGGAGCCGTGCAGTGCTCTGGGCTGGATCCTGGAGCAGAAAGATGTCATGTGAGGTAACGTTATCTCTGTGTCTGTGAGGCAACTCTGTTATGGTTAGTAGGAGCTGCAAACACCAAAAACACCAACAAAACATCCTGTGGGTTATTTTTCCATTGATTCAGGAAAACACTGTCACCAGTATGGCAAAATGTTGTTTCACSACATCTTGCCGTTGAGCTGCTTCTGTTTTTCCCAGCAGGAATATTTATGTGTCTTCTCTGTTGACAGCAACAAAACTAATGAGGGAACCAACGTAAAGAAGTGCTGCAAAGGATTCTGCATCGATATCTTGAAGAAGTTGTCTAAAACTGTCAAGTTCACATATGATCTGTACTTGGTGACGAATGGGAAACACGGCAAGAAAGTCAATAACGTGTGGAACGGAATGATTGGTGARGTAAGTTCTGTTAGATAAAGGAGCTCTGGAGGAAGGGCTCGGTGATAGCTCTTTTGGAGGAGTGAGGAGTTCTCTGCTAGTGACACTAGTGCTGTTTCTCCCTGGATCAGGTGGTGTATCACCGGGCAGTGATGGCTGTGGGCTCTCTCACCATTAACGAGGAGCGCTCCGAAGTCGTGGACTTTTCGGTGCCGTTCGTTGAGACCGGGATCAGTGTCATGGTGTCACGGAGCAACGGCACAGTGTCACCGTCGGCTTTCCTAGGTATGCCTCTCCAACCACCCAGACAATCTAATTGCATTTTGTAGATGTAATTGTTTGTTAAGATATGTAATACATTAACACATTCCTGGTAAGTTTTGAAATTGACATTAGGAAGGTTAAACTGCATTGATGTGCTAATTAACATGATTGTTAACTCACGGAGATAGTGCTGTTGGTTTCAGGTGTTGTAAGTGAAAACCAATGGTAGTGGTTTTTATATGAAAAAAGATCCCCTTAATCTTCATTTAGGAAAATGAAATCCTCAACCCTGCTTCTTTAAAAMCTAATTTATGCTTTTTAGCCCATTATAATTGGTTTGTTAGCTTTTTAATATTCACACAATAATTGGAAAAGCCATTGTAGAGTTGAAGAGCAACTTCCTTATCTTCAGATATAATTGAAATTTATAATTGATAAAAGTTACCTCTGGCTTCTGAGCACTACACTGCTKCTCTGGAGAGCTGAGTGTTTTCTCCATTGATGCTGTTGAACAGTGGAGGTACAGCAAAGAGATGAAAGCTTGGGCAGAGAGGAGGTGAGAGATAAGGAAATGAAGACTCTGAGCTTCTTTCCTTGCATGATTCCTCTTTCAGTTGTGCATTTTTCCTTTCATTATTTCCCTCTCCTCTTTTAGTGTTATAGTTTCCTTWAGTATTTGGCCTGAATTTACCTGAAGCTGAAAAGAGAGTGAACCATGAGGTGGTTCAAAGGTGGCCAAAATGCTGTTCTGTTCTTCATAATGTATTTGGGCCCACTATTTTTAAAGATCTCTTGTACAGGAATACAGTGCTAGTGACTACATTATTTTTTCCACTTTATAGCTAAAATCTTTAAGTGGAAAAATAAAAAATCAGTAAGTTCCAAATATCTTAGGGCACAGTTTGGAATGTTCAAGTCTGTTGGGTCAGTTCTGAATTGCTGAGTGGAAGTTCTGCACTTCCCCTGAAGTTGCTTATAGACATTGAAGAGCAGAGTGATGGTGTAGTATCAGATACAATCAGGYAAATAATTGAATTTTCTCACAAAATAATCATCATTTAACCACAGAGCTTATTTCCCATATCTGTTCCATAAAAGCACATTACAGAGATGGTGCAAGTAAATATAACACAGAGAGTAATCAAATAATTTCCCAAATGTGGTGATACCTAAGCAGATTTTGTTGATGTTTGATCTGACTTAAATGGTTTTATGTCGGATTGCAAGAAACTGTACTTGTAATGAAAATACTCAGAGAGCATCTTCTCATTTCTTTGAGTCATTGATTTGTAAAGTTCATTTTTTAGATTGCAGTTGCAGCACGTTGTAATGACTATTTGAAATAAATATTGGGGTGTTTTCTAAAGTGCAAGTGCAGTTGATTTTTWACTTATCTCTTAAAAACCTGTTTACAGCCACCATCACAAGAGAAGCTGCTTTTGCATTTTTCACAGCAACAGAGTTATTAGGTTTCTAAAATGCATTTAATGTTACTGGTTTAGTTGGATGTGCATATAATTCAAAAGAAACAAAAATAACCCCTTCATATAAAGCTCTCCAAAATAGCTCTACTTTTGAAGAAATCTGATTTACTGCACCAATAAATCCAGTCTGTGCTCTCAGAAGTATGCTCTGGGTTTTTTTGAGGCATAGATGAAGCTGCCAGTTTGCTGGAATTGACTGTGTATTTTGATGAGGTGTGCGTAGTAGTAAAATGTTTTGCCTTGCAAAATACTATCAGGCAGATAACTGAATTTATTCACAGACTGATTTTGTTTCAATTAAGTGAACGTCTGAGAATAGAGTCATCTTACGTAATTCCTCCAAAAGATTTTTAAAAAATCTGTCAAGCACAATATTTCTTTTAAAGATTAGCACTTGATTAGAGCTCATGAAATATCTGGGTTTGTGAATTGTTTCTGTGAATTGTAGACAAGWACAGGATTTTGTGTGAGTAGATTTTTCCAGTCAGTTGTTGTGTCCATAGATCTGAGTAACTGATGGGCTGTGACAGCTCTGCCTCGTTACCTGCCRTGTTCTGATGTGTCTCCTTCAAATGAGAATTTGATCCACATTAAAATATTTTCACAATGTACTAGAAATCAAATATATTAGATCCAGAAATTATTTTTTTAATGATTCTGTGGGGTTTTGGTTCTACTTTATATGAACAACCAAACAAGAAAAGAGAAACTTCCATCTCCATTTCTGTATTTTTCAGAGGGAAGAGTTCCTAGGTGAGGTCAGGTTTCTTTTTTGGAGGCATTGATGGAATAGAAAATCTTTGCCTCTCTTTATTTAATGTATTCTTTAAGTATGGGTTTTGGTGGTGGGAGGTAAGACTCAAAGACATCTTTTTTCTTACTTGATATTCTCCGTTGTCAGTCATTTGAAATGTACACTGACAAGTCATATATTAGTATTTTTCTGCCATGTTATAGCTTTAGTGAAAATTCTTTTAAAACCTGCTGCTTGCCTGAGGGAAGTTCTCTTTCTGTCCTTTGAGAATCAAAGAACAGTGGTGAATGTGTAATTGGATCTCTGATATGACAGGAAGATCGACTTTGTTATTCAGTTGATTTTGTACTTGTTCAATCTTACTGCTTGCTATTCCAAATAGCTTTTTGTTTTCCTATTGCTTCTATTAATTCTCCACCTCATTACCAGACTCCTTAAATTATTAAAGAGAATTCTGCTTAAACTCTTGTTTATAGCTCACTTGTGTACATTGGCTTGTTTTGCCCTTTGCCTTTTTTAGACTTTGACAAATTACCATTGCTGTTTCTACACTGTTGCTTTTGATAAGGGTTTTATCAGCCTTSCTTTCTTCTGTGAGAGTGCTGTCAAAATTTTATGGTAGTTCTACATGAATTCCAATTTAATCTAGTTAATAACGGAATTCAGAAAATATTTTTAGACTTTATTTGGCTACATAATGTCCTTTCCCTGGCTGCATCTATGCAGAGATTTTTCTGCCTTTTAAAAATTTCTTTATTTTCCTAACTTAGTATTCTCTCCCCAGCAAATAATTACAGTACTTGAAGAACTTCATACCCTGTCTTAAAAATAAAATAATTAATTGAAAAAATTACTGCTCCTTTGTGGAAGGAAAACAGTTTGGTTTAAAATGTCCCTGCTTTGCCTTTTTAGTTACCATCCAAGATCACCAGTGGGACTGTTTGTTATTTGGTCTCAGTTCCAATTTCTGAAGAAATCATAGCAAAGACAAAAGATCTCATGAGTTTTCTATGCTTGGGCAGAAATTATTACATTTCATTTTAATTCTGGGTGAATCCTCTGAACCTTGGCGAGGTTTAGATTGGGCTGTTGGGCTTAGCATACAGGTCTCAGTCCCAGTCCTTTCCTGCAGCGAGGGAAGACATTTCAGTAACTCTTAATCCTAAATTCAAAGAATGAAGAACCTCCAAGAAAGGAACTTGAGTTTTCAGAAACAGGCAAAGCATTTGAACACACTGATCTTTTGTAATTTCAAGTGTGTCTTGATTCTGTCCTAATTAGAAACGGTATCTAAGGTTTGTTTACTCACACTTCAGRGCATATGCAATTTGCTTTATTTGCACAAGTTATGATGTAAAATGCCCCAAATAAGTTGACCTGATAAAGAGATACTACTTTGGCATGCAAATCTTTCTTAGAGATATCCCTGAACCATGGCAACTACCACATGGACTCCTGAAATGACAGAGAGTTTGTGATTGGGAAAGATTATATTTGATACTGATATCCAGTCCTTTCAAAAAATTGGTGCTTAGTCTGGTATTGGAAACTGCTTTTAGTTTTATGCTTCAACCTGCTTCTTTTCCTTAATTATGGTTCTTCTGTCTTTCAAACTGACATTCAAATCTCCATAAACCCTTTTGATTTTAGTAATTTGCTCCCGGATAACAATGAGACATTCAAAAGATGTGCTTGCAATTGATGAAAACATCATCTTCATTGCAGGTAGATGAAAGTGAACATGGAGACAAAAGAATCCTGAAACAAAAGTGTTTAGTTTGAATGCAAGTATTTATCTTTCCTCCTCTAACACTTTTTTGTTGGATAGAAAATGAGAGAGAAGTCTACTTCACTGAATTACCAAAAGTATTAAACATATGCTTAATTGCTTTTGCTTTGCAGAAACACAGTCACAGCRGTTGGACTATTCTGTTGATAAATTGTATAACACAGGATGAATAGAAATAACAACCTGATTGTGGACTGAATAAGCAGCGAGTCCAACCAGTTATGTGCTACTCAGTGTCAGAGAAAATTGTGCAGCCTTTTGTTTTTAATTGCAACTTACGTTTAAGCTTTTGACTTTATGGATTTTGTGTATATATACTAACAGCAGTTCATTATATATTGCTGCTCAGTTATTTGCTAGCATTTTTGTTGGGAAAAGTGTAGAGGAAGCTGCTGGGCTTGCCTAGGAGAGGACATTAGAATTCCTGTGCTGTGACTGGTTTAATGAACTGTGTTTCTGTTTCTCCTGTTTTGCTGCAGAGCCTTTTAGTGCTTCTGTCTGGGTGATGATGTTTGTGATGCTTCTCATCGTGTCCGCCATGGCTGTCTTTATATTTGAGTACTTTAGTCCTGTAGGATACAACAGGAACTTAGCACAAGGGAGAGGTAAGATTTGCATTTTACACAGCCCTATGGCTTAAAAAAAATGTATTTCTCATCCCTGGCCCTCCATCTTTTCAAATAAACATAACACAGGAATAAATCAGTGAAATTAGCTACGAAACTTTATGTTCTTCATTCAAAGTATGATTTCTTGAAGGCATATATGCTCATGTTTATATTCCAATTCAATGGAGAAAAATAYTTAAAGAAAGGTGAGTGATACCAGAGTTTTACTCAGGCAGTRTTTGATTATTACACGGCATCAGCTGTAAAGTGTCAGCTTAAAAAAGCACTGAAATACGTTCCACTCYTGACTATTGCAAATTCATGGCCAGTGAAGAGAAAGGTACCTGGAAGCCTGTGATYTGGTGGACAATGAAAAATAGCAGTGACATTGTACAGAGTTTTGGATATTCCCTATGAAAAGATGAACTATTAGCATTGAGAGGAGGCTGTGGCAGAAGGGCATCGCTCCTTTCTGTGCCGCATCCACCATTGGAGAAACTTCCTTTTCCTTTCTCAGTGAAAGCTGCACTTTGACTCAGGAGTGAGGATTCCATGTCTCTCGATGCCCTCATCCTCCCATTTCTGAACTGACATTTGGGAGTGCAGCCTTTCTTTAAATTTCTTAATCGTTCTTGCCTTGTTTTATAACAAGARATCTTCCAGCTTGATGAACACAGTTCTGGGCACTATTAAAAGCAAATGATTTCTTCTAGATTATGGCTGGCTTGTTCCCTGAAAAAGTGGATTATTGTAATGTTCAGATGATGTTATCATTTTAATAAGATGGTAAATGTGGAACCTCTGAAATAAACACTGTGTTAAAAAAGGGGAAATCAAAGGTGAATCTAGACACTGGGGATCCAGGGACTTGGCTGCTCTTTTGTGTGCCACCTCATGTGCCAGAATTGATTATTTAGTGTACTTACAACTACAAAGACATGTTATGGCACTAGACTATCTCAACTTAACACTGAATACTTGCCACAAATCCAGCTGCCATCAATTTCAAACCTGGCAAACTTAAAATAAAGGGGAATATTTTTTTTTGTTTTTAAATTTTTATTTATCTTTTCTCATTTCCCTTGGCATTTTTTTGCAGAATGAAGCTCAGTGGTAATACAATCTCTTGTGGCATAAACAGAACTTGAGATTGCTCCCTTGGCATATAATTTCTGTAACACTGTTGGTCAGAAAAATACACATTATTCTTGTATCAGCTCAGTCCTGAATGTGTCTAGAAGGCAGTTTCATAGACCAAAAGTCAGCTCCATTGTGTTTATTTTACTGCATTCTGTTTTCCTAGTGCTGCTTCAGAATAGGAACATAATCTAAGATGTAGGGATTGGCTGCTTTGTGACATATTTGCACTGTACTAGAGAGCATTTCTACTGAAAGGAGAACATACACTAAGCATACCCACTTAGGGTTTCATTATTTGAATAATCATTGAATTATTATTAAAATAAATTATAGTTAAATGAATGGCTAAATCTGTATTTTTAATGTGCATCCCTTTGGATAAAGGGACAGGGCAGGGAAGGAGGTAAAGTTGCAGGTGTCTGAATTGCCTGAATTGCAGTTTAACTGCAGAAAGGATAATTATAAGTAGGCCAAATGAGTCAGAGTCAGGGGAGGGCTGTTTCCCCCATTGAGGGAACAGGGAGTGTGGATGATGAGCAATGTGTGATTGCATTGTACTTACCTCGAGCTGGGTAAGAATAAACTGCCCTTGATTCTGCCAGGGCTCTGCAAATGAGGCCTTTCCAGTGGATAATGACATTGTTCATCCACTTCTGTCCCTGTGAGCCCCAGGGCAGTGTGCTGGCCATGTCCAGCTTTGGGATGAACTAAAAYATCATGGAGAATATAAATAATAAAGGTTACAGGATGGATGAGCTGGGACAGAATTTTACCTGTAATGTCAACACRTTTGGAGCCCCAGAACTGCCTCTGAACATGTGAGGCAGCCAGAGCTTGGCTTGCTCTAAATTCTGTGTCTATGCAGGTGGATCCTTTGTGCTGTCGTTCTGATTCATGCTCTGAGTACAAAGGTGCTTAAAAGTAGGTGACACATTCACACACTTTGATCTTAAATATGCTTACATAATGTTCAAAAAGCATAATGTTGGAAGACTGGAGATGATAAAAATAATTTGGGTAAGAAAAGTACTAGAATTGAATCATTAAGACTTAAAACCTCCAGTTTTCCATTTCACATGTCTGCTGGTGCAGAAGACTGACAGGGCAATGCTGTGGCACATTTCTCCCTGCAAGAGACATACCAGTCTGCTTCTCCTCCAAACCTATGCTTTCCATTTCCATTTTAAAACCTTTGAACTATAAACCACGTAGAAAAATGTTGAATTACTGTTTTAAAATGTGGAAATTGATGTCCAGTGGAGAGTACCTGTGTTAATCCTGTGATTCCATTGGGAATACAGTGAACATGTACTGAAATATTTTCTAACCGCGTCTGTGGGAGTAATGTGTTGTCTCTGCAGGGAATATTGGCAAGGTTTAATTAAACTGCAGCTGAACTRAGTGCTGTTTGCAATTGCAGATCCCCATGGGCCATCCTTTACCATTGGGAAGGCAGTGTGGCTACTGTGGGGCTTGGTGTTCAACAACTCCGTGCCTGTGCAAAACCCCAAGGGCACGACCAGTAAAATCATGGTGTCGGTCTGGGCTTTCTTCGCTGTCATCTTCCTGGCCAGTTACACTGCCAACCTTGCTGCCTTCATGATTCAAGAGGAATTTGTTGACCAAGTGACAGGTCTGAGTGATAAAAAGGTAGGTCTTCAGCTCAGAAGAGGTCAGTGCCCATTATCCATAATCCTTCTGCAAATTTGTACTTCATGATAAAAACTCTGAGTAAGRTAATGAACTAAAACTGGATGATTTCCTTCTGAGTGCAAGTGCAGCCCTTTACTAACAAATCTAAGACCCACAGCATGAAAATATCAGTTTGTTTTCAAAATTGCCTATTCAAAAGTAGCTGCATTAWCTGAAAATTACCTTTATTTTGTGATAGAAATCAATTACTGTTTGGTTAAAAAGGGTGCCTTACCAATATAAAAAGCTTGAAAAATTGTGTGGGGTATTAGTAATATATTAAGAGAAAAAAAAGTCCATTTGCAAAATTATTGTGATGGATAGGCACGAGATACTTGAAAGGTAGGCCTTTGTCAAATCTGTGCCCAGTTGTTTGAAAATGAAAGTAAATATTGACGTTCAGAAGAAATATTTAAATAGGGTATAGCCCAGGGGATAACTTCACAAGGGATTTTYCTCAAAGGACAAAAAAGAAAGGAAATTGTTATTAAAAAAAACCCAACCAAAAGGCAACATCTCTGATAGCCTTGTCTGTTTTTTTTGTTTTAACTGCATTTTATGACCAGCCTTTGATTGATTGCCTGGTATATCAAAGCAGGCATGGCTAGAGAAAAGATAAAAAGAAACAAAAAATGATAATAGTTTTGTTTTCATTAAATTATGTTGTCACACAACCTTTGAAACAGCGTGAAGATTGTTAAATATACTTCTATTTTAAGATAATGTTCTTAGAAGAGACRGATAAATGCCATTCTCTCTTGAGGATAAAAAAAGTAGCTTTGAGAAATATCTTTGTCCTGTTTGTGAGAAGGAGCAGAGTCTGGGTTTTGGGAGGGTTTGCCTTGCACTGGGCACAGCAMTGGGACTCAGGGCTGACAGGGCACCCTCACCTTCCCTGGCTTTTTGCCACTGGGCTGGGAAATGTCAGAACTCGTTCTGCAGCTTTTGGCTAAGAACTTTCTAACTTTCGTCATTTTTCTATCCTGTCTGCTAAGTAAGATTTTATTTCCACAAAAAGCAAAAATAAAAATAGAAAAATGGTTGAATCAGAAAATACCATCTGTTCTTGTGTGGTTTGCTGATCATTTATTTGATCTGCCACCTTTGTTCTTATTTTTCAGTTCTTCAAACTTCGCCTGAAGCGCATAGAGATAAGTCAGGGCAGCCATGCCTTTTCTGATTAAATTAAACAAGTTAAACATCCAGAAAAGCAACGAACTATTTCAGAACATTCTTCTTGTCACACATAGGTTTTACCTCCTCCACAGTCCTGAGGTTTCTCATGTTTTAAAAAATCAAATAATTACRGATAATTTATGGGAATGTAATCTGATGGATGTTAAATTATTTTTCAACCCCTTTGCCATGTTGCTGCAATGCTGTTAGTAGGAGAACAGTGAAGGAATTTGCAGCATTTTACTGTTCAGTAGAGAACTCTGACCCTTGCAAGAAGTAAAGCAGTCATAGGCAAGGGACAGTAATGTGGGTATAATCAATTTTGAGTAATTAGTATCTAAAAGTTCACTAAATGAAAAAAAAAAAAAAAAATCAAACCACTTCTGGGCTGTTAAATCAATTTTTCTTCTCCCCCACTTTTCCCACTGTAACACCTGAAGAGTTAAGCTCTCCTGTTAGTGCAATAAAGTATTCCAAATTAGAGGTGCTGGGGTTTCCCCATGTGATGGACTACAAAGAAAACTCAGGGAAAAAGCCCCTCTCTCTGAGCAGCCATCCCTGACCCTCAGCATTCAATATTGCCCCATTCAGGACAGTTCTCTCAGCTGGTTCACCAAATTTGCTGACATGTGATGACAATAATGTGTTATTTACCCCTGGGTGCTTTAAGAGCTCTTTAGAGTTTCCTCATCCCTTGAAATGCTGCTGCTGAATTTCCGAATGCCCTGTCATCCAAGTGTCACCCAGAAATACATGGCACAGCACGTACTGGAGTCAGGAGGGGTGGGTGTTCAGAACTCAGATGATTCAGCAAATGAGAGGAAAATTGTATTTTGACATTCTTATGTGTGTAATAAATGTTTAAAAGCTTTGCCTYCATATAAAGGTACAGAAAATGAGTCCAAGTATCCAGCAAAGCTGACACTTGTGGCTTTTGTTACTTTTGAGACCACTGTGCCCATTCCATGCAATGAAAAGGAAAAGTTTACTAAAGCAGGGTAGGTAGCAGCGCAGAGAATTGTCTTGCAGATTCTGGGATTCTGCCACATTTAAGAATTGCCTCACCTACATGTGAGGCTCATCAACCTTCATAGGARTCCTTAGTGATGCCACTTCCAGGTTCCTTATTTTTGCAGGATTCACAGTATTCTTGTAGCTTTGGCTTTATGTTCCTGTGCCCTGAGATGGCACAAGTTCTGCAGTCACCGAGATGTTTACTATTTTCTAATATTTTAGTAATGTTTTTCACAGTTCCTTAAAAATTTCCAGAATAATAACAAACAACTGCTCTCAACACCAGCCTTTTTGGCAAGCAAGAAAATCTTTACATTAAATCAGTATTTAATGTTTCTGAAAGATYGCTTTGCTGACTTAATAAAATTGTCAGTTTCATTAAGGCATATAGAAAAAAKAAAACAAAAGAGAGAGACTGGAGTTCTGTTGCCATGTGCTACAGTTCTGTCAGGTGTCAGGGCAGGGGGAGACAAAAACAAAATGGTTACTCTTCAGAAGAACAGATTTCTCCCCAACTATGACTCAAACATGGGTCTTGTGCATTCAATTCAAAAGTGTTGTCCATGATTTAAAAGATCAGCATTTCATTAAATGTCTAGGAAGAAAATTATTTTCCAGCAAACATGATATATTTGTTTCATCATGAGACTTCAGGGAAAATGAATTCATGTGCAGCCTTGATGTTGGTTTTTCCCTGTCTCTTGCCCCATAGATCTTTGCTGCAGTGACAGTGACAGTCCTGTGTGCTTCTCCAGGACATGGCAGCTCACAGAATAGAAGTTTAATACTATTGATGAAAGCTTTATTCACCCCAGATATGAGTGCAGCATTAATAAAAAAGACTTAAACCTCTTTCTTTATTCTTTACAAGTAGTCTGTGAGCAGGCAGTAGTAGCAGATGATGATTTCAAAAAATAATCTCCTTGTGAGTGTTAACATTTGTTGGTTGGTGCCAAGAAATTCCAGTCTGTAAATGGGGTTTGGAATCATCTGTTTAACTCTGTGACTTTTGAATGAACTCGAGCTTTTTATTCATCCTTCTTTTCTGCAGAAATAGTTTTGTCTTCMGTGAATGTTCCATTTGAACAGATGTGTTAATTCTTTCAACTATTCCTATGAGAGGAAATGCTTCCCAACATCCTAAACTCATATGAATGTCCTTGAAAAGTGACTATTTAAAACCAAACTCCATTTTGAAATTACCAGAATACTCCACCATAATGTCCCTGTGCCCCCAATTCSCCTGCCATACCCCAGGACTGGGAACTGAACTTGCATGATGCTCACCCAGTCTGAAATTCCAAAGAACTCCAGTGATGTCAGGAGCAGCAGTTCTTRCATTTCCTGAAATTKGCAATGTTTCTTTATTTTTTTTTCCAGTTCTGTTGACTGGCAGATTTAAAAGCTGCTGGACACTGTCTCAATACTTCAAAGATACATTATCTGTAGTTTTAAATAAAGTTAAGAGCAAGCTACATTTATATCAATAGCATCTCTAGACATGTATTTAAAAGCAGTGTTTCAGTGCTGCATAATAAACTCAGACAGGGAGATAGCAAATATAGACTAAGAACCATGAGTAGTGTGCAGTATAATTTTGGTGCATGGGTCAATTACTATGTGTAAAAGTAGTAGCAAAGTTATAATTTAAACAGTAAAGCTGTGAAAAGGGAAGATGAGGAAAGTAAGACATCTGTTAGCTAAACAAATAGAGAAAAATAGAGTTCATTCCTTTATGCATTGTCAAAATATGTTTAATTAAAATGAAGCATTTAATTGTGGTTCTGTAACAAGGAAGTGGTGTTTCAGCAATAATTTCACAGTCAAGGTTTGATGGAATTGAAAATACTCCCAGTTTTTGTAAAACCCATTTGTATTCTCTTTGCAAATTGGCACTGGATCTTGGGAATTCTTGATGCCCTGAGACCAAATGTTAAAAYGAGAAATATTTCATGTGTAGCCCCAGAGGAATCAGCAGCTGTATAAATATTGGTCCTCTCTTGCAGCATAGGATATATAGATTGCTCTTCTAACTTCAGCARTAAAAACAGAGTGCATTTTACTGTGGAATTTGTGGGTGACTGCTTTTATCAATGCTCAATTCAATTTCCTCATTAGCCAATAGTTCATCTAATTTGAGTGACCTTTTTCATTTGTTTCTTAAAGAGACATTTTAATCTAATCCTAAGGTGTCACTTGGGTTTTAAAGCAAGATATTGAAAAGGCACATATTAAATTTCCAGGTCTGTTAGCGAAAAGTTKCTGTGAGATTATTTGAAGGATTGCCAAGTCTGAAACCTGAATGTGCCCTGAGCTATTGCCATTCCTTTGCAGATGCCCCCTGGCTGATGAAATAGTGAGGGAGAGGGTAAAATTGTAGAATAAACCTATATGCCCTCAAGCAAATGGTTTGCAGTTTAAATGGTGGGGATGAACAGGGATGAGGGTTATAGGTGTGAGAGCTCCAGGAGCCCTTCTCATGTCGAGCTGTGYGGCTGCTGAGCCCTTGGGGAAGCTGCAAGAACTTTTATTCCCCTCCAGTGATGGTGGTGGAAGGAAACTCCCTCCCCCTGAATCTCCCTGGCACCCTCAGCCCTGGGGCATTGGGCTCCCTGTTGAGTGCTGTGGATGATCCTTTTCTCAATTTCCTGGTGGGGTTCAGGATGTCCCAGCTGAGGTGGAAGTGGGACATGGCAATCAACCAAATGCTGTTTCCTTCTGGCTGCTGTTTGGGTGTTTTTGGCACTGCTCCTGCCATGTTGCAGTGCTGGGACAGAGTCACATGTGAGTGGCAGAATTGAGCTGCTTTGCCTTTGGATGAAGATTACCTTCAGTCAGTGCGAAGGCAGTTTCTGGTACAATAGACCTGAATTAACTCACAGCCTTTGCCAAGGAGAAATTTGATTTAATTTACACAACTTCTATCTTTTTCAACCTGAAATTGCCCTGTTTTAAATGCCTGAAACACTTTCCTTTCTGCTTTTCTCTCCAGTTTCAAAGGCCACATGATTATTCACCTCCTTTTCGATTTGGAACGGTCCCAAATGGAAGCACTGAGAGGAATATCCGAAACAACTACCCTGACATGCACCTTTACATGACGAAGTTTAACCAGAAAGGAGTGGAAGATGCCTTGGTCAGCTTGAAAACTGGGTGAGCTTTTTCCCGTGGTTTTTAGAGAATGCTGTAGAATTTTCAGAAACTGAAAAATATTGATCTGTACTTACTGTGATACTGAGCAGACTGATGTCAGGCTGCCATGTAGTACATGGCTCTTGTTTTTTSTTTTCCAACTGCAGTGTACAGTTATCTGAAAGGAAAATGATTGACTGTGATTTCTATGGGTATTTTAAAATTCCATGGTAGCTTCAAAGTCCTGTGAGACAAAGTTTCAAAGGGCAGAATTAATGTTTCTTAAATCTGAAGATAGTACAGTCTCTTATCTTTGCAGTACTTCCTAATCCTGCTTCTGACAATCTTGGTAAATATCCAGGTAAATATTATTGYCCTTCTTTCTTAGCTCTGAGATTTAGACTTGAGTGCCATCCATCCTTTTCTCTCTCTGAAGYAGCCCATTCTGCCTACTTGGACAGAGACAAATTTTCATTCTTTATCCTCCAAGTGTATGAGAGTGACTCATTGCTCATATCATTATTCATCTGGGTGACAGGWATGTGTTAGCTCTAATAATATTTTCTAAACATTTAGGCTTGATAGTAACATGATCATATTTGTTGATAATAGAACAATGATCATTTATCAATACAGGCTTTTTAGGTTTTGTTTTGAAGTGAGAAGTTACTCTAGTGGCTGTTTCAACAAACATCTCTCCTGCTGTTATTTATGGTGAGCATAGGACATGTTTCTTCCTATGCTGAAATAGCCTGTAACTTTTGGTCCTTTTTGGGGAACGGCTTGTCTTTTTGATTTGTGTTGCCCTTTTCCCAAACTTGTAAGGGAATGTAATGTATTACGTAAGCAAAACACCTTRAACTCCCCAAATCTTTCCTTCAAGTGAAGATTCCCTTCTTGAAAACATTATCCTTCTAGTTGTTTCCTTCTCTTCTGTCTCCTTGCTGCTGTCTGGACTGTCTGCCCTCATTTCTCTGGGCATTCTCAGCCTGCACTTCCCAGCCTGGTTTGCCCAGGACAGAGGGGTAACACAGTGTGAGATGAGATCAGCCTTGCCCAGAGCCTTCCAAACTGGAGCTCCTGCTCTGACTGAGCCCGTGCAGATTACATTTCCTGGCTGACAGCTGAATTATGCATCAGACAGCTGAATCCTACTATTTCTGTTGGGAATCTTTGAAGAAGGAGCTGTCCTGATTTCAGCCATTGTTGGATGGACAGTTTATTTAGGGGATGTATACTSCTTGTACTTTTCACCAACCATTTGTGCTCTTGAAAGCCCTGAAAAACTGCTGTTAGCTTTARAATCAGGCCACTCGTCAGACACTTYRGTGTGAAAATGGGGGTGCAACCTGACTGCAGSGTTGTTCAGGATGTTCACTAAAACTCAGGCTGGCTGCTCCTGTGCCAGCTGATGGTTATTCTCAAAAGCTTTTCTCCTTTTGACAGCATRAACTATTCATTTTTTACAGATTTTTTTTCCCTTGCTGAAGTTTCTTTGCTCTTCTAAGTGATTTCTCTGTGTGGACACCCCCAGGTGTGTACCTTGCTCCCCTTGACTGATATTTCTGTAGCAGATGGTACAAATAAGCTTCTGGATCAATACAAGTAACTGCTACCTGCAGCTGTGCTCCTTGGGGTTTTGTCTGGTGGCACCTGCAGAGGGATTGAACAGCAGGGTGGCAGCTGCTTTCAGACTCAGATTCTTCAAAAACAATTTTTCATTTTTTTTCTGCCAAATTTTCTGTTCCTGAGCATACAGAACTGTATCTTCTTTCTCTTCTTCTCATGAATTCATTGACCAAATTCTTTCTCTTCCATGTAAAATTTGCCCTTTCATCTTTAACTAGACTCAGTGAAGTTCCCCTTCCCTCCCTGATACACTTGTTTCCATGATATTTAGTACATCTGCTCCCATGGAGTCTGTCTTTCTATGGCTCTTTTGGGGATGACTCATCTCAAACTGCTTCTGCTTCCAAACAAATATATAATTTCTATTTTCTTCTTCAGTGTTTGTGTTCTATTCACTTTACTAAAGCTGTTTTGTCTCTTTTGATCTTTCTCTGTTTCCAAAACCATTGTCTTTTTTTTTTCATTCTCTTCCTTGGGGATATAACAATCAACTTTTCTTATGCACGATAAAAGTTGCTACTTCTGCACAGCTTTTTGAAAATGAACTATCTGATAATTTCAGTCAGAGTTTATAGACCTGAGAAGGACTTGCAAAGAATGTCTGCTGAAAACTGCTGCTGTGAGTTAAAATAAATATTAACTGTTATTCCTGAAGACTCTTTGTATAACCTGTATTTCTAATCTCACTTTTAAAACTACTTTTGCTTAATTGAATACACGAGTTTTAGTCCCTTTTAATTACTTTTGTATAGTGTTTGATTCTAATTTTAAAGTGGAGCAAAAAATACCAGCAATGAAGCAATGCTTAATGACTGAATAATGCCACACATGTGGCCCTTGTGATCTAAAGAGAATGAAATGATGAAGTAGCATCTTGTACAGTTCAGTCTGGTTTTGCTGTGTCTCAAGCAAAACCTTTTGATCAGCTTTAATGAGCATTAGCATCTTGAGTTGTATTGGGAATATCTTGATCTTTGAGACCATTGTGTTTATACATACTGTTATTGAATTGAACTGGAAGGACAAAGCAGGAAGAAGACAAATGTAAAATTCCAGATGCACAGATTTCTGAAAACAAATTAAAACTCCAACTTGTGTTTTTTTGGGGGGGGAGGGGGGGGTTATCTTGCTTTCTTTCAAGAAGAGGAAAATCAGCTGCTTCAGTCCACTTGCTTATGTGGCCAGAAAAAGCCACAGAAATACRGACAGAAATGTGTATAAATAAATGTTATTCTGTCTTTATTCCCTGGTTGGGTGTAAGGTAGGTAACCTTGTGTTGGAGTATTGCTGTACTCCAAGGTGAATGTGCTCACGTCTGTGTCTGGGGAACCTTGAAAACATMCCCAGCCCCTTTCTGGTTTCATCTTTGGGAGGTGAATCTGGTGCTGTTTCAAAAATTAACGTACAAGGAAAGCATCTGCCTTTGTTTTCTTTTAATTAGAACAAGCAACTTCACTGCATGGGCAATAGGCTTGGACCTATCTTGTTCAATTAGCATCAAAAATGTTTGAGATCATCAGCTGAGAAATGCTGCAGATCAAAGTGGAAATGAGATTTTTGTGTTAGTCTGACATTGACATTACACCTGCTCAGGTGAATCCCCACRGGGGGTTCATCACAGATTGTTCATGAAGCCTTGTTGCCATCAGTGGGGAAGGCAAAGTTACCAGCTTTATTGCATTTTCCTCTTTCATACGAAACCAACCTTTGCTTCTGAAAAGATCTTGAAAAAAATAAATCTGTAAAGACTCAGTAATATCCATTTTTTTGTCACTAGGCTCTTATTTCTGAGAATCACAGATCTATTTCTCAGGAAGCTGCTGAAACACCATTTGAACAACAGCAGAACTTTATTAAATGTGTCAGTTTGCAACCAGGCCTGCTAAAAAGGAAGATCTTGTTATTAAAGTATTACTTAATAATTTTCAAAATGGCAAAATATTGTCCCTCCTTCAGTGCAGTTCTCTACTGAAAGCAATCATGGTCTTACAAGCTTGTCAAAAAATGTACTTGTGTTTTTCACTAAATTTCATGCATTTAAGGGATCAGGTGGTCCACATGTGCTGTGCTACGTGCAGAGCTTGGGTTTGTTCCTTAGGCAGGACCAGGCAGCTCAGGGCTTCTGTAGGATTTTGTTCCTTAATGAGAACAGAAATGGCAGTTTTTGCCCTGAGCATTATCCAGAAGAGCAGAGCCTGTGAGGCACCAGCAAATGTGCTCTTGGTGGGGACATGGGCTCTGCCRAGCCCTGGTGGCTCCTCTGAGCTCTTCAGATCTTTATTGATCTAATACAGCCTCAAAAATGCATTGCAAGCGTTTCTGTCTGTGCTGCATTTAATTGATCCACATTTCTAGAACCCTGTGTACCAGGCAGACAGATCCTATCGATTTTGCCTCTTGAGGAGAGAATAAGTTCCCGAATGGGAAGTCGTTAATGATTGTGTTACGTTTGCAGTGACTCTTTGGGTTTGCTTGCTTCTGTTTGCCTGGCTGTATTTTTCCTGAAGAGGTTATRGTTAAAGAATACCATCTTTTTGCAGGCAAAGCAACCTTCCTGTTGCAGTTCTCTGGTGTGGGTTGTATGAGCTCATAGCTCCTGAGTTTGCATGCAGTGTTTCTATTTGTGGCTGTAAAACYGTCAAGAGGAGAAATTGCAGTGGCAATAAACTGGAAATGCATTTCACGTTCTCACCTTTGCCCTGGCACATCTACAGTGGCATAGTCTGGGATTTAACTGCTAATGGCTGAAATGAGAAAATTTAATTGGGAGAGGCCGTTTTTACCGTGGGGATAAAATGGGAAATGTTTGCTCGCCTGTTGCCCGTCCCTTCCTCTCAGGGAAGCTGCAGGAATGAATCCGTGGTGTTCCCCAGCCCCGGTACAGCTGCAGATCCCCTGGCTGTCGAGACTGCTTTAGAGCTTCCATTGGCAGCCACAGCTGGGACTGGGTATTCAGGGATGTGATGCTAAACTTTACTGGGGACTTCATCTGCCTTCCTGTTGAAGACAGCAGTGCTTGTGTTGATACTCATCGAGTTGAGTGTGTTATTCCCCAGTCTCTGTGACATGCTGCTGGGATTGTGGAGCTGCTGTGGTGGCAGCACTGCCAGAGCCACAGCAAACAGCCTCAGCAGTGCTGGGTTATCAGATGGGAGGGGATGTATCCCTACAGTTTAGGAGCTGCTGTCAGCCTGCAGGCTGTCCTGGGCTGTCACTTTGACAGGGACACGGGATGGTTCCATTGCTCAGCATCCTTTCATGACAGGCARTAATGCCAGCAGGAACACCTGGAAGCATCCAAGTGAGTATGCAGACAGCGTGAGGAGTTATTTCCTCCCTGCAAACCCACTCTCCCATGTGAACACAGCATGATTATTAACGTGTTTTATAGG